AACGACAAAATGCCGAAGAATAGCAGTAAATACAACGCATGCGCACTTTTTCGACTGCTTTGGCTTTTAAAGTTGCCGTAAGGCGGAAGGGCATGGAGACCACTAAGTGATCGATAGTGGTTTGGTTTATATAATTATTAATCACAAAATCAAACTTCTGGTGCACTGGAGGATATTTTTTGCCTTGTCCCAGTATCTTTTGATTAATGCAAACAAGATTTTCGATAGAATTCAGATTAGGTCTGTAGCGGGATTAAAAATGCTTCAAAGACCGAAGGCGGAGAAGCTGGCTGTGGTCTAAAATATTAAAGTTTAAACGTAAGCGGAATTGGAATCATACCTCCTTTGAGCGGAAACAGGGGCATTATCCTGCAGCATTACGGTGGCCATTTGACGTCGATGAGTGCCGTTGTAACCGAAGTCACCCATTTCGATGTCGATGAATACCATGTTAGTTATCGCCTCCGTTGTTGAACGTCAGACTGTTTGCTCTCCGAATTTGATGGCCATCCAAACCATCAGGCGTCGACAGTTCTTGAAAATTCCTGTCGATAGAGTGGGCGCTTGTGGGAAGTTCTTCTCACATATGACCACCTCGGCCGACTTCGGAGGCTTGTCTAAAAATATGATCTCATCACAAAAGTAAGTGCTTTTCCAAAATGAAAGCCTGTGATCGATATATTTTTTAGCAAACAAAAAAGTTCTCTCATAAGTTTCCTACTTAAAAATGGCTTTGTCTTGACGTATTGCTGGAAGCCGAATTCTTTCATTCTTTTCCTAATTATGCGCAAAGAAAACATTGACAGGTGCTCATGTAAATAGCCGTAAGGGGCATATAATGATACTTTTTCAGTGTCCGACGAATGAACTCGTCGTCTTGCTTGCTTGTGGACCGTTTTGGTCCATCTTGCTTAGCTCTAGGTAGTGTTTTATTATTAATAATTCTCCAGATAGTGGCCTGGCTAATATTGAAAATACTAGTAAACGAATCATGAGGCAGCCCGTCGGCCGCCAATTTTCGTATCCGCTCAAAGTCAACTTCTGATAGGAATTTCTTCGACGCCTTTGTTCCACGAAGCAGCATGTAGCGCGTAATCTGCATATACGCGTTTACGCCTACTATTTCTCCGTGTAGTAAAACAAATACTGTCGAACAAACATATCACTACTTTTAATGACGTGACAATTGTGCCAAGTAGAAGTTGTCAGGAGCAAAATGCATCCTGTTTCATAAAAAGAATGGGCTTTTGCACCTCTGTCTTGGCCTGATTTTCATGAACTAAAAATCATAATTATCGTTTTCAGAGTGGATTTCTTTGATATCTTCCTGGTTATATGGAAGTTCCTTTATAATGCAACGCGTGCAAATATGAAGTTATCATAGGTTATTCTTATTAGAATAGGAAATTACGTGGATATCCATAAACGTCAAAATTTGCCTAATCTTGGCTTGTTTACCCTCAATAAAACAGACCTAACATGAGTCCTTTAGAAAAGGACTTCCTGGGATTAAATTCAACTCTAAATCAAAACTAACAACGCCAAATATATGTAGTACCACCAATTCCAATACCGATCTTGAAATTTCATGCGATCTCCAGGCATTGATAGAGGCAGACAGTGTTCAGGCCAGTTGCACTTTGCAAATAGACAGATCACGAATTTAAAAAATGTTTGAGCCCAACAGATTTGTTGGAGCAAGAAGGAGGAAAACTGATAGAGTACTGGGAGCAACCTTTCCTTTCGTCTGACTCTCCGAATATTTGCAGCATTTGGCCTATCTCATGAAATGTTAAGTGAAATTCTGAAGTGTGTTTGAAGTACCGATAATCGTACAGCACAATTTCCAGAGGTCTCAGTCATTGCCGGGATCCTGGCCTTTTAATTAGCTTCTTTACTATCGCCTGCAAAAGGCGTGCTCGGGGAAGAACGACTACATGTGTAGTAGGCATTTTTCTCGCTGATTTTTGACGGCCTCATAAACTAACACATTTTATAGAAACCATGTCTAGAAATATTATTGTACTCATCTGGTTAAAAAATTTTGTAATTATGAGATTTTATGATCGCATCTATCCGCTTATGAATACTGTTTATGAATTTTACAGCATAATCCAAATCCGCTGGAAAAATGTGTAAATCCTCTAGTAAGTCTTTCTAACACCATAGGGAAATGTGGGATAATCCTAATATTTGGAAACCCTAAGGGCCAGTGCAAACGAAAGTCGGGTTCTGAACTGACAAAGCGAGGCAAAACGAAGGCAGCCCCATCCCTTCATGTGCGTTTGCTCGTTCTGTCACAATGGAGATCACCGGGTAGCCCTTGGTGGAAGCAGTGCGTGGAATATTTAAATACTAAAACTCTGAAAATCCAAGTGATTTTCTGAAGATTGCTGTGTATGAAGCTGTCTATACGGATTTTTTTTATAAATTTTGTCACTTTCAGTATTATTAATGTACTAACAATGCTTACGATCTTAAATTTCTACATTTCGACTGATTAAAATCCAATAGATTAGACTCAAAGCGCGCATTTTTAACCAAACCCGACAGGAAAATTACGGTTCGCGACACTTTCCCACGAAGCATTTCTTTGCTTCTGACTTCATTACCTAACATTGTATCCAGTTTCTCTGAATTGTGAAATGCTGAATCATGCTGAAGCCACCTTGAAACATTTTAAAATGATTTTTTGGAACTTCTTGTCCTCTCGAAGATGTTATGGTTGGACCTGACAGAATATCTTCATCACAGCTTAAATTTTTAAGGTGACGGCAGGATTTCAACGTCTTAATTAAAATGCAGACTGACAGACGGAACCATCAGTGTGTCTGCTGATACTTAGCGGAGTCTCGGGCGTCTCACTGGCGAGCGAAGCCTATTGGTGCGTACTGACGCCAATTAAGACTAATTAAACCCAAATTTCATCTTTTCTCCCAATGACTCCAATCATCCCCTAAAGAAACACTTCGCCTTCATGTCTCTTTGGTCCTGTGTCTGTGGCTGCATGGGAAACACACCTTCAACAGGTCCAAGAATTAACAGCTGCCGGGCCGGGTTGTGTCTCACAACTTCTCTTTAAGTCCTGTTCTTCTCAGAGAGCACCTGTCTCCGTGCACTAACACGCGCTTCATGGAGTCGAAGATGTCTGACGCTTGACGTACAGTGGGAATCACTCCCATCCCTGAGCAGTGTATCAATTTTGGTCCCAAGTCCTTTCGGTCGACAGTACGCTCCTCCGCACCTCTGAAGCTCAGTAAATGTTATTGTGTCATTTTCCTCCGGTTTATCCGACCCTTAACAAGTCGCGCATAGGGCCAAGCGTAGTGCCTCGGATGCTGTTGCTCTTATGGTTCGCTCTGCCCTAAAAGAGCTGGATAAGGGTTGCCAGGCGTAAGCAAGTGCATTTCTTGACTCCTTCCCCGTCTTTAACACAGTCTTCCACCATCTCTTTCTTCTGGTCGGATTTTTTTTCTGGCCTAAAAATTGGTTTCCCTTCCGAACTCCAATTTGTCCAGTCTGGCAAGCGGAACTCGACGCTTCTTCCCAATAAATGCGGGGTCCTTCAAGGCTCTGCCACATTCTCTCACCTCTTCTCACTTTGCACTGATGACATGTGATCGTCAAACAACCGCCTGTATGCTAAACATGTTGACGATATGGTTGTTGGTCATCCTATTAAAGACGGTTCTCACCCCCAGGTTCTGAAGGACGACTTGGATCATGTTACTATGTGGTCGTTGGAAAATTGTTTATTTTACGATCACAAACCCGTCCAGTGTGTGCTTTGGTGGTGGCCTTCTCCCATTCCAGAATCCTTTGACATTTCTCACAGTGGAGTACCTTGGGGCCAATCTGTCTCCAAATTTCTCCTTCTCCCTTCATACTGAAACTTTTTCACTAAAAATCGTAAACATGTCTATGACATTCATCATTTACGTCCCCATCGTACACACCACGATCCATTATCTGAACGCCTATAGATACTTATCCTCTCGCTCTATTTTCCTTATTATTCTCCGGTTATTTCTTCTGCCTTGCTTAAAAAAAGGTACGTTAATTTTGAAACAAGTCTTCTGAATGCTCTCTTCTGCTGCTGATATTTTTACTGATCTCTTAAAATGACGACGTTTTACGACGGTCAAGCGATTTGCTGATTGAATTCTGGATGATGTTGTCCATCCCCTTCACCCCGAATTAGTGGCTGTGAAGTCTTTCCGCCCCATGTGCCGAGGCTTCCGGCATATCTCTTGCTCCATATAGGCGTGCAAGAAGCTCATATTAGCATCTCCGGCACAATACCTAACATGTAAACATATCGAAATACAGAAACTGGGACTCGAACTGTCCCCATAATATTTGTGCAGTTTTATGCAAATGCATTAACCCTCCCCTCACCTAGTAGTTTGTATTTTGGCCACGGGAACGTAGAAAGTTTTATTGAAAATTTGGAAATTATACTTTCCTCTCTCTCTCTTCTGCAAAAACACAAGCTCATAATAACGAGTTTTTGTCTGAATGACTCCACTGCACTCATTCCCGTTTAGAAAAATAAAAACAGCTACATTCGTAATAGCTAATTCGAGCATCTGCTCGACGCGAAGCAATCTTTACATGCTTTGAGTGGGCTATCGCTTTCGCACCGAGGGGACGGCGATGGTGACGTCGCATTTACGCGGAGGCTTTACAGGCTGGTTTCGTGTTGGCTACTGGCCTGCCTCGCCCCCTGCCTCGCCCCCTGCCTCGCCTGCCCCATCACAGTCTTCCTCGGCTTCTGATTGGTTTATCAGTCGCGGCCGGCGTCGAAGCCAATAATATTCGAAATTGACGCCTTAATGTGGGCGGGATGCGAGATCGCGTGAACTGCTGCCCTGCCTCCCCTTTTCCCTGACAGGACCAATGGATACTCTGCATCAGCGACCACGAGCCGTTATATTTCGAAAAGGAGTCCACAACACTGCCACCGTCACCGTAGACAACCAGTCGAGCAGTTTGCAGGAATGACTTCCCGCAGCTTGAGTTGGCCAGATAACCATAAACAGGGTGCTCCAGAACGAAATACAGATATTTACTTTCCCAATGACTACCAGCCGCCATGCAAAGACTTTGATAGCCTTTTGGAAAGCGTCAGCAACCAGATCAAGAGTGAGGCAGAAACTGAGTGGGGTCAGCAACGGGCATCTGCCAACACGGGCAGTCATTCTCCGCTGAGAGAAAATTACAAATTGGAAGAGCTTGGAGGAACCAACCCGCGCATCCATTTGCGACGGGGCTGTACGCTGGATGACAGTGACAGTCTGGGGCCTGGACAAGTGCTTTCGGATGTGGTCTTCGATTTGCTACCAGCAGGTTCATCTTCGGGTGCTCCGCCTACGGATGAAATTAATCTCTCCGGCGAACAGGGTGAAGGTGAGTTGGCTTTCCCACCCGGGGCTGTATCTCGCCATCTTAAAAGGCACTTTAAAAAACTGGTTTTTGTTACATCCCGTTCCATAATCAATTGTGAGTTGAACAATCCTGTTGTCCGTTTAATACTCAAAATGAAGTGGTCGAGGGAGTAAAAGGTAGATTGTGGGGGAGAGACAGCGTCCACCAGGAAGGCATCCAGTATTAGTTATGTAAACCGTGCGCAACTCTGAATGTTAATGACATAGTTTATGCAGACATCTTAGAGACATTACGTTATGTCTTAAATTTTGTTACGAATTATGATTGGCAAATTTAGTTTGGGAAATTCGACTTAGCTTAACATCTTGCAGCATATGCCATTTTCTGGGAGAGGGGAGACAGTTAATGGTGTCTCAAAGGGGAGGAACTGAGACGCATAAAAGTTTCGGGGAGTCGAAAGCTTATTAATGATTACTTGAACGTGGCCCCAGAATGAAACCTATTTAAAAATAAGACTAGCAATGGGCCCGTGAAGGACAGGCTTCGATTCAAGGGACGATGAACCGGTAATGAAAGTGCAAAAACGAATTCCAAAAACCCCTTTTTCCAAAATGAAAATGACCATGTTCAAGTTTAAAGTATCAAGCTGATTTGCCTGAAAGCACTAGGGTTTCGCATGTACTAGCAATTACCCGTATATGCGTAAATTAAAGACATGAGCTCGGAAGTGGGCTTTGTAGTTACTTGTTATTGGGAAATAGTTAGCTTTTGAAAACAAGAAAGTCGTACACTGAGTGTTTGCAAGCGTAGAAAGCTGAAAAGGCACCAATGGTGACCTTCGCTCTTGAGCCGAAAATTTCTGGAAATAATGTTCTTCCTCAGACCATTGCAATTTCGCGTGACTACGAGAATGCGACATGATGGCTGGCGAAAGGGCAACCGGGCCAAGGGAGGGAGCATGAGGGATCGGAGTGAGATCGAGCAGCACCCCAGTGAACAGAATTCTCGCCAGAAAAGCGATGTTCAAAAGTAGTTTCCGGAATGACATACAGAGACTTTTCGTTGTGTCAGGGAACACCTCGATGCAATTCCTATGATGTTTATGAACGTAATACACTGTGAATATTATTATATTGTGGACTATTGCCGGTATTGTCAACTGTTCTGAAAAGAATTGCTTGTTAAGCTTACTAGCTCTCTTTTTCGAGAGAAAGCTCCGGTTTTATCAAAAATACGGCAACTTTCCACGAGCGCGATGCGTTATTGATACGTACCAGGCCCTTTGATCTAAGTGCCAATGACAGGGGTTCAAAGTGTGTTGAATAGCAGAAGAAACTGAGTGGCCGCCAACTGCAATCTGTCCGACTGTCATACTACAAGAGTGCACGCTGTCCTTTATGAAGATGAGAGGCTTTGTCGGAGCCCGGTAAAAGTAAACAACCTTCGCTACGTGTATTTAGACGTCTCTGGTACGGCTTTGACCACGTCTGATCCATCCTGTGCTAGGATGATGAGAGAGCCAATATCGCGCTGTTAATACTGGGCTCTAAGGAAGGTGCATATTACCATCAAGGCTAGAGACGGCAGCTGTTGTGCCGGTTCTTCGAAGAGCGATGAAAATCTAAAAAAATTCAATTTTCAGTCCCGAAAACATGCATGGACCCTACGAAGGAGGGGGGCTTATTGAAACTATAAGTCTCATCGGAAGTGAGGTCGAATGCAGACCGTTTTCTTAAGTTATGTCTTTTGGAACGTTAATATCACTGGGTACTAAAGGCGTCTGCTCAAGAACATCTATTTGTTAAGTTCAATCAGGTAGGGGTTGTAGTTTGTGCTTGGAAGATAATACGCTAAAAAATGAAGTAAAAAAGTTGTTTGAAATAGCAAGAGTTGGCGGTCGCTGGGTCGCTCCGCTGCTGGAATAGAAATAGGTGTAGGCATGCTGGGTTTGGTGAGAGCAACTTATACGTGTTCCCCGCCAGGACATAGAAATGGGGACGCCCCCCCCCCCGTAATACAAGCGGCCTTGCACTAAATTCCAGGAAGGGTACCTATTTCCAGGTACCTATTTTCCAGGTCCCTAACAAACAAATTAGTTCTATGGCTATCCTTAACCCCTCCCCTAAACCCAACACGGATTTCCTTGAAGTCTGTAGTGCTATCTTTATTGCGGGCAGCTACTTACCTGCGCACATAAGCGTTCCTTACCTTGGACCTCACCAAATGGGAAAATTAGGGCAAACAAGAACAAGTGTCGAAGTGGTAGGGAGTATTTATACCGGTACCAGTATTATTAAGGCTCTGCAACATGTGTCTGCTGCTATCTTATCCAGAATAAGCCATTTCTGGTGAGTGCCTTGTTTGGTTTAGGGCGTTGATATATTTTGAACTTCATTTTCTCACGAAATATACTAATGCAACGCGGTGAGATGTCTGCGCACTGAGTAAGTTGCAGCACTAAGTAGGCTCGTCCCGTCTAGCCCGTAACCCCAGTCTAGAGCTCCGCAGACAGTTGCATAACTACCAATAAAAATGTAGAGGGAATACTGACTAAAATAGAGAGGTTGACATGGTCGTTTCTGATCTACCGGTCATCACCAGTCACTCATGCCCCGACGCCAGGTTTGGATAGCCCGAGGTGGCAGACTCGCACTGTTTCGTCTTTTAAAATGAATTCCAATGATCTGTCGTTAGGCCGTGGTTCAATTGCCTCTTCGTTTCGACTGAGAAGAACGCATAACGTGGATGGGGGAGGGAGGAGGGAGGGAGAGCGTTCACCGATTTGGGTGCATTACGGTAAATGGTCGTTCTGTTTTGCCTTGAGGTGGAGTATGACTGACTAACGGCGGCTGATAAAACAGAACCGACCACCATAGCCTCCGTCGTCTTCATCGGCATTTCCTCCAAATACTGACGTGTTCTGCTCATCGGAAGTGCTAGCTTCCTCTGACCCGACGGACAGTATTAGGTCTCAACAAAGTCCGCATTGTAAACGATTTGAAGTATTTTTAGATGTCTGTGGTTACCAGAAGTTGGGGTTTTGGCGCACGTAAGCTGTCGAGTTCACGTTAACGTCGACCGAAGACAGCCACCATAGGAACTTATCCCTAATGTCACTCGGGGTTCAAGTTAACCTCTTCAGGAAAGCAACTGCGTAGCACATAGAGCCTTCGACTAGACAGAAAATGAACTCATCGGGACTAGGTTACTGGCAAAAGTGAATGTTCTTATACGATGGGGGTTGGCGCATATGCATTGCCCGTAATAACGTTAAAGCCGCCAGTTTTCGATTAACTGACATCCGTCCGCGCCATGGCGTTCGACGTGAAGTCTTGGTATATCTTCTGGTCAAATTTGGAGCATGGCAATAATTCCCTGCAGGATGTGGGTCCGAGGGGAAACGTGATGTTTCCCGTTCCTTCATTTAGTATGATCCTTTATTTTGTGATGGCTAATTTTTACCGAAAGATAGGCAAAGAAAGTGGTTTACGATCCTGAGAGCGCGAAGTGCCTGGTTTCAAATTGCAACCAGATTAGTGAAGGCCAGCTAGATAAAATCGTGTCTAGATTAAATAGACACGCGAGTGCTATTGTGTGTGCAGGCAATGGCAAGGCCGGCGTTAGATTTTGTCGGCAAGGCCTTAAGTATTAGGCTGTACAGTATCTTATCTGCTAGGTTTTTTGAGATATTACTGTATGGTATAATATCTTTGCTAGGAACGACCTCCAGCATTTGGAGTTGAATCATTTTCTTACCCATTATGGGCCACCAAAGTTGGAGTACTATGCAGCAGGTTTATTACTTTCCTTCAAGTCGCCAGCCTGTTCCGGTTGATTTCCAGCAATCGAGGTACTATTATTATTATTAGTAGTAGTAGTAGTAGTAATAGTAGTAGTAGTATTACTTGTAGTAGTAGTAGTAGTAGTAGTAGTAGTAGTAGTAGTGGTAGTAGTGGTAGTAGTAGTAGTAGTAGTAGTAGTAGTAGTAGTGGTAGTAGTGGTAGTAGTAGTAGTAGTAGTAGTAGTAGTAGTGGTAGTAGTAGTAGTAGTAGTAGTAGTAGTAGTAGTAGTAGTAGTAGTAGTAGTAGTAGTACGCATGTATTAGACGGACATATCAAAAATTCTCGCCCATATGGAGCCTCGCAAAAGGCAAATTCAGAATACACTCGCGAACCATCCGAATTTTCCCACAAAACTTGACATCCTAACGAGGCGGCATCCGAAAGCGATTTCCTTTGTTCCTGTCTGTTGTTGCAGGCTAGTTGATGTTGTTTTCGCGCGTAACACATTCTCGTGCCTGGGTAATTTTCAGGCATGCTTCGCCGTTTGTGTTGGTCTGTCCCCCTACTGGCCAGTTCGCTGGAGATTTCACGGCGGCGAAGAGGATGGCGGTCTTAATTTGTACTCCCCCCCCCCCCATCCACCACCCTCTGTCCGATCGCCCACCATGATCAGATGATCCTGTTCCAGGTAAAAGGTCGTGAAGGGACGTCCCAGTTTTTGGAGACCTGTTTCATGCCTTGAAGAGAGGGAGTTCCGATAGGCAGTTAGGGAGTGTTGTTTCCATAAGATGCGATAAAAAGGTCAGTGGCTAGCCAGGGAAAATATGTAAAAACACATTGATGGGGTAAGGCCACGAGCAGTTACTAGTTGACGGTCACATTACTGACTGTTGACATAATATGCGGACGTTTGATAGCGAAATTCTGATGACCGACAGCTCCCTTTGTCGCAGAAATGGACTCATTTAGGAATGTTGGAAAAATGGGCAATTTTTTCCTGCCGTAATAAGTAGCCTTGACAGTGTTTGCCGGAGCATTCCAGCTGCTCGCCGTTAAGATGTGACAGTTGTCTGTTGGGTGAGATCCTATCCGAAATACTTCAAGTGGGTGGAAAGCAATTTGGAATAACAAATTATCTGAGAATTTTCAGGCGGATATTGTTCGTGCCCCACTGGCGTGTGGATTGTTGTTCTTGGTTAACTGACATTCCTGCACATATGCCGGGGGTCCTGTGTTGATCATAGACGGTAGTGATACTAGTGTAGAAGTGTATGTGCAGGGCGGTTAGAGCAGTTCAGTAGATTCCCAGCAGATGCACTCTGGCAGCTGTGTCGACCACGCGCACGGCTGATCTCAGTTTCGCCAGAGACTGGCATACTCTGGTTCAGGATATGTGCCGATGAATACGAACCAACAGGACTTCAAAGGGTCAAAACACACGCAAAGCCTACCATAACAGCTGGGGAATTGGCAAGAGTGTGGTTTACTTACTCCGAGGATCCTTTGTGCTGAACAAAAGAGGTGAAAATCTAAGAACTTTGTTGTATTACAAATTGTAACCAGTTAAAAGGGGGCACTATTTTTACCATTTAATGAGAAAAGTAAACGCATTCAATGCCCCTTCGCAGGCATTGTTAAAGAGGTATCACATCGGTGTTTTTTTCACTCCGATGACTACCATAAAGCATCTCGACTATCCTCATGCAGCAGCCACCTCGAGGTCTTTTTACCTCATTCTTAGGCATGTACAAATAAATAGTGACCGATCTTATGAAATGTTGGCTGAACTTCTTAAATGCGTTTCCGATTAGGAAGGATTACTTAAGCGCTTTTGTAATACCAATTAAATTGCAGAATAATCCTATAATATTTCGGACTTGGCAGGATGTCAACTTTAGAATGCACATCTACTTGACCTCCGGCAGAAACTACACTCGGACAAAATCGACTACTTAAGTAGCGTATATTTTTCCCGTTGACTCTCGATGGCCTTGTTAATCCAAATATATTTTATATAAACCACGAACAAAATATGCTTTATTTTGGTCGTTTGATAGAGACTCACATTATCTTTATATTTCATACTCGAAGAAGAAATATAATTAGGTTTTAAAAAAGTTTCTAAGTATGAGATTTTTAAGACCGTGCAGTGTCCATTCATACAGCATTGTACCTGTTCGTTTACTACTGCTCCACATGAAATGTACAACGTGGTCCACATCCACTGCAGAATTTTATGAATTCTATATGGTATCTTTTTAAAGGCATAGAAAAATATGTGATTTTCTTTACGCGGAACGCATACACCTTGTAGACTGAAATCGTTAAGCGCAAATGCAACAACTGATCAGTCTCCAAATTATTCGGGAATTAGAAAACTTTTTCAGACCTAATTATACTCCTTCTTTGAATATGAAATATGAAGATAACGTGATCCACTATCAAACGACTAAGGAAAGGCCAATTTTTGTGATTTCTATAAAATATATTTGAATTTGCTAGACCAGCGAAAATCAATTGGAAAATGCATACTATTTAAGTAGCCATTTTCACCGAGTACGGTTTTTACGGGAGAATGAAAAGCCGTGCATTCAAAAACTGACATCCTGCCAAGTCCGATTATATCGTAAGACAATCACCGTTGCAACCGTACCAAAGTAATCCTACCTAATCGGAAACTCATTTCAGTCAACATTTCATGAGATCGGTCACTCACTGTAGCTCCTCGGATTAAGTAATTCGACCGTAAACCACACCCTTGCTGGGGCACAACTCTTTCCGTCAATGTCGCTGAAAAAATCTCCGGCTGAATATCTCTCATCCTCCTGACCTCATACATCTAACTGGAAATTTTTAAGAGCCACCTAGACCTGACGCCAAAACAATGATATCATTTTCTCTGTTCGACGACTGCATGATAAATATCGGAAAGTTCGGACCGGTATCCACATGACCTCCTTTGCAAATCTCAGATAGTTTTCGTTTTTTCTTCAATAAAAGAAGGGATGGCGGTTGAGAAGGCTGTTTTTTAGAATCAGTGAATCTGGTTTAAATTTAGGAAAGATAAAAGTGCGCACAGAGACGATACCAATTTTTTCTCTAAACTGTCACTCCCTTATCATGCCTTCCTATAGATTTATTTCAAAAGTAAACCCTTTGCATTCGCTTTTAGGAATTTTCGCACTAACTGAAGTTTCCTCTTGACGGGAAGCTAGCCTGTGTTTTCAAAATGTCTTCATTTTGGAACTTCTTATGATGCCTGCGTGAGAACTCAAGTAGTCCATAATTCGCAAGTTTTGAACCCCATGCACAAGTCTTGCAATGTGTTTAACAGTCACTGGAATATTTTTCGGACACCAAGCGGTCTCTATGTAGTCAATTGATGTGATAAGTTGCCTGCCTGTAGGAAGCCCGCGTGGCGTATGGCTTGGGAAACGCGTAGGAATCCGGAGCCGAAAGACTGCTGTTTTTCGACCACAAACTTTAAAATAAAAAAACATTCCCACAAGAAGGGGATAAGGATGCATGACCTGCTGGAGGCATAATTGGAGTTACGCAAACCGGCGGGAAGAGTTGCTGCAGAAGTGGTCACTTGAGTCGTCTTCAATTAAGTTGGTATTCTTTATGCACCGTCGTTCCAATCTTGCAATCCAATCGTTGAAGCCCCTCCACCAGAACAAAATATACTATGTCCGAACGCCACCAACAAGGCAACAGATTGTGCTTTATTTTCAGAGCGCTTCATTTAGAGCCCAGTGACTAAAGCACTTAGATTTGAGGACAAGGCTGACTGCTCTGGCTTTGTTTGGTGGACAGGGCTGACCAGCAAGTCGAAAATGGTCACCCCGCACTCCTGTATCTATATCAGCACTCCTTGCGCATCGTTGTTTTCCACTTTTTCGACCACCTCTGAGGACACTCATATGGGGCTCTAAAACAGGCAAGCTGGTGAGCGCGTTCCGTTGTACAACCAAAAGCTGGCGTGGAATCATGACTCATCCTTCCTCCGAATCAGTGCGGAGACCACTTAATCACAGTTCACCATAATCACAGTTTCACCATATCACAGTTCACCAAATCTTTAAGCCCACGTTCCCCCAATTCGGGCGCATAACCTATATGCGCTGCTTCACTTCATGCCGTCGTCAAAGTGCATTATGTCGGTAGTATGTTCATTTTTCCGGAGCGGTAGTAGTAGCAGTATTAGTAGTAGTAGTAGTAGTAGTAGTAGTAGTAGTAGTAGTAGTAGTAGTAGTAGTAGTAGAAGTAACAGTAATAGTAGTAGTAGTAGTATTAGCAGAAACAGGTATTGTCGACGTCGCTGCCAGTGCAAACGTCAGAGACGACAGCAAGAGCAGCCAATGTGGATAGGCATAGCTACTGCATTTTTGCACGCACCTTTGTACATGCGTCGTGCTCGTCTGATTCTGCCTGTGACATGTGTAATGTTTCCCCAATGACCTCTGTATTTAAAGAATGCAGTTCCTTTGCCAGGGCGTATCTATCCGCATTAGCAGCTCCCGAATTCACTACAGCTTCGGCTGTACATTCGAACCTTCTAGATAATAAATCTTTTGTTCCAGTCATCATGTCTCCTTCGCATTTTTGCTTGTCGTAAGAGTTGACGGTATTAGTAGCCCGTCGGAGGTCTTCATAAGAGACAAATGACTAAGCGCGTGCGACGCTGAAAAATGGGCTAAGTAGGCCTTTGCATAATTTTTCGGCGGACTACAGACCAGCATATTTTTTTCAAAAAGCAGAGGAGGGAGTTTGTCGTGTCCGGGAAGAGTATCCTACTAGATTCGAACGGTATGCGCCTTCGATCCTGCAGAGCTGCGCTTTTGCAATGCATTCCTTCTTTGCCTCCGACTCCCTCGAGTTGTCCTTTTCATCTGCCCACACAGGCTTGTCGGGAATGTATGCAACAGCGGAGGGATTTGCCGGCCCTCGGGAGCCAGATGAAGGCGAGACGGATATGGAAGTGGCTTCCCTGGTGGACGCGGACAACCAAAAACATGCCTCCTCTCTCTCCCTGGCATCCTCCAAGCGAAAACCCAGAATCCTCTTCTCCCAAGTGCAGGTCTACGAACTGGAGCGACGTTTCAACCAGCAGCGCTACCTATCGGCGCCGGAGCGGGAGCAGCTGGCGCTTCTGCTGAAGATGTCGTCCCAACAGGTGAGTGTCACTTGACTTGTCTGTCTGCTCTTTATCTTGCGAAGAAGTGTTTGAGGGTGTTTGATGAGAACCAGTGGCACTATAGAACAGCAGTGAATTTTATGTGAATTAGATTATAGCGAAGGGTGATGTCCGCCGCATCCACTTCGCTATCTCTTCCCCTAACAATCAGGTCCTACTGACCGTATTTGGTCAAGACGTGTGGAGCTGAGCTTGGGAAAAACGGCTGCTTAGGCATTTGCTCCGCTTCAAGAGCGACTGTGAGAGCTCTCCCACCGTCAGGAATCACACTCCCCCCCTATCTCGGATAAAATAGTCGGTGCAGTTATCATGAGGCTAATGAGTGACTGAGCTCTTCGAGTGTAATCCCCCCTAATAAGAATGTAATTACTTGAACCGTCCGTATGATAAGCAGGGAACACAGTCGGTATCTCATTCGAACACTGTGAAAAGTGATCTTCTGACTGCGGTTTCCCTAGTCATCCACGTCTGTGGCACTGGCCTAAAAACTAACTGCTTCAGTAGGATGGGGTTTTCGAATATGTCAAATAACGGACAAGTAGATCATCTCATGTTGCGTTTTGCAAGAAAGTGAGCTGTCTTTAAAAGTGCTTGTGTGGATGAAGAATAATTAATCATTCGAAAACCAAACTAAGGAGGTGGAGGGGGAGAGTCTTTAGATAGTGGTCGTTTGAGGATACGTGCAGTTATTGTGGAGACACGTTTGTCCTAAGCTTGCTCATTGAACACCCTGTCAAGGATGTTCCCAAACGGTAGCATGAAGATGCGTATGGCATTCTATTGGATAAAATACTTCCCACGTAGCTCGAAAATCTTGAGGAATATTAAAAAGACTAGTATAGTCTCAAAAGTGTCTTAAGGTTTCTGATAGAAGCGAACAGACGAATTCCAGGAGGCAGTTCAGAAGAAGAAGAAGAAGAAGAAGAAGAAGAAGAAGAAGCGATCACTGGAACAAGAAGTTTATCGGCCCGACGTTTCGGATTCTCACTGGAACCCACCGTTAGAGACGGTTGCAGACAAAGGTTCGAGTGAGAATCCGAAACGTCAGGCCAATAAACTTCTTATTACAGTGATCGCATCTTCTTCTTCTGTGTCTTAAGGTGTTAATCACAAAATATAATATGCCTTCGCACACGAAATTGTAGTGAGTTCTTATCCCTGAGAAAAAGAAGAAGAAGAAGTATATTGGATGGCTGCAACACAAGCTCCTTCGTCTGACTCATCAGATTGACGCACGAGTCCCTCTGCATTAGCCAGAACTGTTTTTTCGCCTTCGCCGCTCTGTGACGTGTCTGTGCTTGGACGATTACGTTGCGAAATTGCGTTTTGATGTTTTCTCGAGTCCTCTAAATTGATAAGGGAAGGGGCGGTGGTGACTACTTCGTTATGCGCCCTCCTAGTTGCACTAGCTGCAAACGATTATTCTTATCAGATGAAGCTATTCCATCTTCTCTACTGGCTAATCATGCACTCAGAAATTAGAAACAAAGGGTTACCGAGCTTGCTTTGAAGAGGTCAGAATAAAGCATTTCTCGGAAGACTGTGAACCTTCGCTGCCTGTATTAAGGCCCGTCAAAACCGTGTGGAAAGCGTTAATTCTTCCTCCTTAGTGTCTGGGATATGTACATCGATGGGCTACGGTGACATCGTCAGCTACATACTACACGGGAGCTTGTGAATCTAGTTGTGACAGGAGTGTTCACGAGGGCTCGAGTAACGAAGGTGCGGTTACGTTTGATCAAAAGGAGATTGAGGAGTGGGGGGACAGAATTCGACTGATAAAGTTGCTTGCTGACACCGCAACGCCTTGAATAGGCTTGTAGTTGTTCTCTAATCCTATATTTATGCCTCCCCCTCCACTTCTTCTTCTTCTTCTTCTTCTTCTTCTTCTTCTGACTTCTTGTTTCAATAGACGTCACTGACTTGGAAGCACTTTTTTCAGGAGATAACTTACGTCGAAGGCAGACTTGCAGTTGCCGAAGGACGTAGAGAGTAAATAAAAGGTTGTTTATTCTTCGAAGAATCCCTCTTTTACAGTTAACCGCAGCATCTCGGTTTGACAGATCTGATCGCCGAGGACTAACGGAACATGAGTTATTCAAACCATGGTTGCGGTATATGGAACTGTCAGGTCTTTGTAGAGGGTATAAACTGTGCTCGCTGTCACCACTTTCATACCCATGGGCTTATCTAACTATGCGTGTGTAGTACAGCCTACACTGACCAATTTCTCCCTCTATCTGACCTATTTTTGTTGTTGGTTAGAATCCTGGTCAAGTGTTTGTTGTGGACCAGGAGGTGTGGTGGCATGCCTTGGTAGGCGTCAGGCGGTGCCAGCCACCTGCGCCCTCTCTCGCCTTCGGTCTTCTTGACTCTGTCTTGACACCGAGCTCCGGCGGCGGCGGAGGAGGAGAGAGTGCTGCAGATGCTGTGCAAGTCTACTACCACAATAAACTAATTCATGCACAAGTCACCGTGCCTGCTCTCACCTTGCTGTGGAGCCCACGGTGGGCAGCGTCGGTTAAACTGTCGGACTATGACCAATTTCCTGTCACCAGCGAGGAACCCGGTGCAGCTGGAGGTCAAGTTCGCCGGCGATGTCGACAAAGTTTGCAGGCTGACTGTACTGTTGTTTGATAAGCAAATAAACACGGGAAGTGTTTCGTGTGTGAGATGGGGCGAGTCGTCTCAGTCCCCCCCTTCGTCAGGCAATTAGCACGGCAGGCAGTTGAGTTCATTCCTCGTCGCGCGACCCTGGGCAAGAGACGTTGTTTTGTGAAAA